CAGCTGCATTTGCCTTTCTGCAGGGAGCTGGAAGGGAACGGGATCCGGGTGCTGCACAGGGCTGTCTTCCAGGAGTGCCACGACTTCACGGTGCTGTGAGTACCTGGGGGGCCCAGCCGTGGTCCCCGCTTGCTGGGGGAGACCCTGTCCCTTTGCAGGCACGTGGAGGGAGGAGGGGGGAGCGCCAGCACTCGGCTGGGCTCCCCATTTCCCCCTGCTCTGGGCTGGATAAGGGGCTGCTCCCTCGTCTTCAGCGGTTTCAACCCACGTTGGTACACAGCATCAACTGCTCAGTCACCTTCAGAAATTCTGTAGGGGCTCCATCAGGTGCCCCAGAGCCTTTTCCAGGAGGATAGCTAACCCTGGGCTGGGGAGCTGGTGGGCTCATGCCAGTGCCCTGTCGCCAGCCCGCGGGGGCTGCCCAAACCCAGTGGGGACCTCCTTCGGGTGGGAGATAGCGGCAGGGCATGGCATGGAGAAAGTTTCCTACGGTGTGCAAATACCAGAGCTTGCAGCCAGCTCAGACCCTTCTCCTGGCATCTAAATCCCCTAAAAATATCCCTGAGGAAGGCCATAAAGTTTGTGAGCCACCTCCCCGCATGTTGAACAGCCCGTTTCCTCCCCTCCTGCCTGGAGCCCGCTCCTGCCCCGTTCCCTCCTGGCCCCGGGGCTGAGCTCTCGCCCAGGTGCCCTCCTGGAGCTGACAAAGGCAGTGGATTCGCATCAGTGATGCACAGCCCTCTCCAGGGTCTGGTTTTCCTGCCCATGATGGGCATACGCCTCCCAAAGGGATACCTACAGCCCCTGGAGCCCTGGGAGATGAAGGTGGGAGAGCTGTGCACTGTGCAGATGCTGCCCAGGAGCACAAGGCTTCCAGCGGCCACAGGGTGGTGGCAGGAGAGCAGAAGTGGGGTGAGGAGCCAAGCCATCCTCCCCGGGCAGCGGCAATCAGCGTTACCCCGAGCACTGGGGAGGCGTTGCAGGGCCCTGTGCCAGTGCTGCCAGATCAGAGTGAGCAAATAAATCCAGGGCTTCTCTGGACAGCAGCAGAGTACGCCTCTACCCTGAGACCAAACGTCGCAGCCGCCCCCACGCAGGAGCGGGGCGCGCAGCCACCCCTGGGGCATGCACCCACCCCCACGCAGGAGTGGGGCACGCAGCCGGCAGCGCGGAGGCATTGAGGTCTCTGGCCTCGCAGCCGCTCCCTCCCCTCACCTGGGGTTCCGCAGAATGCTCCCCAGCTCCCCGCGGCTCCCACCAGAGCTCCTAGCAGGCACCAGAGATGCTGAGCAGTGTGTTTGGAAGGGGGGTGCTCTGCGGGGCAGCGCTGCAGCCCCTGCCTGCCCCACGGTCCCTGGCCAGGCGGTGAGGAGCAGCCGTCCCAGGCTGGCCCGTGGAGAGCTGGAGGTGCGGATGGGGTGAAGAACCCCTTGGCACTTTACCTGGCGGTCCCTGGGGACCCTTCCTGGTCCTCCTCTGACCACTGCCCTGTGCAATGTCTCTGAGGACGAGCGCTCTGGCAAGCTCTGCTGTGACCTTCCAGCCAAAGATTGCTGGGCAAAGACCCCGATCCCTTGTCTGCCTTTCTTGGAGAAGCCCCAGTAGGCATTAAATCCCCAAAACGTACAGCGCTACTTTTTTTTCCTCCAGCGAGACCCCTGTGCTGGGTGGGTGAGCTGCCACCCTGCCATCCATCCTTCCTCCCGCAGCCGAGCCCCTTGGCTTTGATCAGCAGCGTGTTTCCCGGGGCTGTTATGGCAGTGCCATGGAAACGTCCGTACGGGCGAGATGGACGGTGTAAACATGCCCCGCCGGTGACACCGGCGCGGGAGGCGCTTTGCGAGCAGAGGCAGCAGATGTGGCAGGGGCTCGTGTTCGGGCTCTGTGGGATGAGCCATCCTGGCCGGGTGCCTCCGTGTCCCCCCCATCCTGCTCAGCCGTGCCGTGGGCCACGTTGGAGCGGGCTGCCCTGGTTGGGGTCAGCTCAGCAGAGCCTGGCTGCTCGATGCAAGCCTCCCCAGGGAGCACCGTCCCCCGGCCGTGGCACCCACGGGGTCTCCCAGCACCTTCGAGCCTGTGCCATCCCGCAGGGCTCTGCTCCTGCTGCTCCGAAACCGCTTGCATGTCCTAGTGGACTGTTCCAGGTTTTTACTTCCGAGCCCTTTCACCAGCGCTGCTCACCTTCCACACCGCTGGCGGGCTCTTCTCTGAGCTGTGGGGTCCTGTGGGATGGGGCTTTGCACCCCAAGAGCTGGGCTCTGGCTTAGACCCCCCCCAACAGCGGCGCGTTGGGCTGCAGGTGGCGGTTGTGGCTTGGAGCGTTTGGGAGGGATGCGGCAGGGTTGGGTGCACCCCAT